ATGAGAGACCATGAATTAAACAAGGATGCTTGGTGGAGGATAGTAATGATTACATGCCTTATGTGTTTCATGTATGACATTTTGATATGCTAATGTGTATGCTATGAATTAGTTGGATGTCTTGTTTGTGTAATAATAAGAATTAAAGTCTTATAATGATGAGTGAGGAAACCTAGGAGTACAACTAGGTTAATAACTTAGAAATATAATCTAGGTTATGGAAATAAGTTATGTGGCAATGCTTGGACGCAGGGGTACCTTGGTGTGTCATGGACAAATAGTCGTTGGAACTATAGCTTAGTTATGAACTAATATGCATTATGAGTATATGGTAGGAATTGATGAGTAATATCACCTAGTGATTGGTGAGTACAATCACGTTGCATTTGATGAACTAGTCATGTATTCGGAAACAACCCTAATGTCGTGCTCGTCCTAAAGGTCGATGCTTATGAAAAGTAAGAATTGGTATATATGCACTAATGCTTTGGTACACCAAATGGGTTAGAGTCCCATAGTGCATCCAAATGTGTTAGAGTCTCATAGTAGACCTCAAAGTGGGTTAGAGTCTCATACGAGGAATAAGACTCAAAATGGGTTTGAGTCCCATTGGGAGCGACAATTCTTAGATTGGGTACGGGTCCCATGAAAGAATCTGAAATCCACAAGAAAATTAAAGTATAATACAAGGATCTGTGATCTGTGTCGAGAATCCTAGACCTAGGGTTGGCCGAAAAAAGATGCCTTGGTACGGTTTCTGAATAATGATTGTGTTGAGTTAGTGAACTCAAGCGTACATGTTTCCATACAATGCGAAAAATTCTCCTAGTTGGTTAAGTCTTTATCTTTTTAAAAGACTTGAGTTAGGAAATTGATTAGAAACCCCGTAGAGCCAAGTGAACCCATAAGATAAAGAAACTCACTGATATTATTATCTCATCCCAATATTGTTGTTATTTTTCAAGTATTTCCTTGAAGGTTGAATTACAAAGAAGTTGTTAGATGGTGTTTCGAAGGTTTACGAATGATTTGATCTTCCGCTATGGATTGTGTGCAATGAAGATATTACACATAACTCTTAGTTTCATTTTAGGCTTTATTGTATAGCATGTGCCACAGTTTTGTATTTAGTTTGAACATGTGTATATAATGATGTCATTAGCCTCTTATGTTGTGTCAATATAAAAAATCAACACTTGTATGATATTATTCTAGATATATATTATACAGGTTGTTGCTCTCTCTCTCTCCCTCCTATGAAAATATACATACATATATATATATATATATATATATATATATATATATATATATATATATATATATATATATATATATATATATATATATATATATGGCAAAATATTCTTCTTGGTCCCTTAACTATACCTCGGGGTTCATTTTGGTCCCTTAACTTTAAAAAGTTTCATATTGGTCCCTTACCTCTTCAAACGTTCCATATTAGTCCTTTTTGAGCTATTAGTAACAGAAAAAAATCAAAAAACCGTCGCTAAATTCGTCGCTAATAGGTCAAAAAAGATTAATATGGAACATTTGAAGAGTTAAGGGACCAATATGGAACTTTTTAAAGTTAAGGGACCAAAATAAACCTCGAGGTATAGTTAAGGGACCAAGAAGGATATTTTGCCTATATATATATATATATATATATATATATATATATATATATATATATATATATATATATATATATATATATATATATATATATATATATATATATATATATATATATATATATATATATATATATATATATATATATATATATATATATATATATATATATATATATATATATATATATATAATTTTAATTTTCATAGGTTATTGCATGTTCAGGTAATCTTTTCTTAATTACATAAGCATAGGTTTTGTTAAAATCAGAACCTATTTGTTTTGTGCTGATTAAAATCTTCAAATTGTAGTGTTAAAATCATATAAGAAATTGAATTTTATAAAGAGTCCATCTCATCTCATGTAATTTGCAAATTGTTGATTCATGGTAGCTTGTAACTCTTTGGATATAATCTCTCATCAATCTGAAATAGTTGTTAATTATTGCATAACTGTATGCATCATTAATTTCTAATTCAAGCATAACGTCTCTATTTTTTGCTATATGAATTCTACATCGAAAAAACTCTTATCTTTCATTTTGAAAATTATTAAAAAAAATTAAAAGATCTATTCACCCCGCTCTAGACTGTTTCTCTACTCCATATTCTCACCCAACATCGTCGTCCCAACTTTACCTGACTATTGGGCCTTAATATAATACCTAGCCATGTATTTCAATATAGATTCATTTTCTCCACCAGAATACTCTCAAAACTTGGAGATCTCAATCCCTCGGATAATATCAGTTTGCAAAACCTTGTTAGGAATGGAAGAAACAAAGTAGGGCCTATTCACTTTGTCTGCGTTAAATATATGCATGTTCCGTACTCTTTCAACTTTGTTTTTCACATGTTGTTTCTCGACATTATGCATTACTTCTTCTATGACACTATCTAGATTGTAATTTCTATTAACCAGGGCCACATTTCGAGGATTTATCTATGTCACTTCGAGCAATGGGTGTGTGTGAGATTTCTTGATGGACCCTTTTGTCATCACCTTCATTATAGGCTCCAAAACATCAACAATTCACCTAACTTATCTAGTCATTTTAAATGTTGTAGTGATATTCTCGATCATTAAATTAAACGTAATGGTGATTTGATGTGTAATCTTGTTCAGCATTTCTCTTTTAACTTCCAACAAAGACAATATTACTGCAAAAAAACGAATAAGCTCTGCCAATATATTGTGATGCGTAGAGCTGATACCATAGACAATATATTGTTGATAGCGTAAGAAAAAAATAATCTCCATGTTAAATGTTTTGGATTCCCGCAATATTAAATACATATCATACATAATAAATACACCACTTATAGCATTTCTTTACTTTAAATTTAGTATATATTTAAATTTAAAATTTACTTTTTATATTTCAAAACACTTCATAATACTAATTAAGATTTATTTAGTAATTAAAAGTCATATATATATATATATATATATATATATATATATATATATATATATATATATATATATATATATATATATATATATATATATATATATATATATATATATATATATATATATATATATATATATATATTCTCAATTGATTTCATAATAATAAAAAAGGAAAAAAGTATTATTAAAAAAATAAATAAAACAATAATCATAAGTCCATAACATAATAAAATAAATTTTGTGTCAAGTTGATCTCAAAGTTTTAAAATTAATCAAATAAAAAATTGACTAAAGAAAAAAAATAAAAGTGATATTATGATTTTGGTTTGAGAGAAATCAATTTTAAAATTGGATCAAATAAAAAATCAGTTTTTAATAAGAATCGGTTTTAAACCAAACCGACTCAATTATAAATCGGTTTTAAAAAAATTAACCAATTTTATAAAAATAATTTTACAAACTAAACCAAATCATATAATTGGTCTAATTTAAATTGATTCAAGAATCATGCACACCCCTACTATAGATAGGATACGCTGGTTTATTGAAGAATATCTTTAGCATTTAAGTCAACAAATCAATAGATAAGTATATATAGACTTGTTACTTGTTTCCATTTGTTGTAATTAACAGTGGGACTTAGACTTTGATGTATATTTTATATTTCATATCATCTATATATATATATATATATATATATATATATATATATATATATATATATATATATATATATATATATATATATATATATATATATATATATATATATATATATATATATATATATATATATATATATATATATATATATATATATATATATATATATATATATATATATATATATATATATGTGGAACTCATACGTTTAAAATATCCAAATGTTTGTAAAAAATGTTGGTCGGTTCCTAAATGCGAATGTTGAAGATTTTGCTTTGCCACATTTCCATTCAAACGGAGTTACCCGATTTTTCATTCGATCTCTTGAAAATGACCTCTGATCTTTAACAAAATTATGTATTTTTATTTAATAACAGACATTTGGATTTAGTCGTAGAAAAAAGAGAAAGACTACTAGACCATTAACAGACAATTGCGTGCAGAGTTTTTGTGGGCCATTATCAAACTCTTCCAATTAGGTCATTCTCCTTAGATTAGTAAAAGTAATGCATAAACACACATCATGTTTTTGGTATTTCGTATAGCATTTCTCAAGCTTTACGCCTTCCTAGAGAGATTGGGAGGATTTTTGTATTATTTTTCTTTCATTCATTTGCATGTTGATGGGACCTTTAACCGCAAGTTATTAACCCCCATGAATATGGCCTAAAGGTTCTGGAATTCGTCAACTATTCATTTGGTTTGGTTGGTACTCCAGTAGAATAAAAGCCCATCCTATCAGCTTTGCCCACATTTATGGCATTTTATCACTTTTTTACACCTCAAATTCCTACCCATTCCCCAGCAAAAGATAATTATAATTAAGTACTGTATGAAGGAACATGCCTTGTTTTCCACACATCATTATTTAATCCGTCAATTTTATTTTTATATTTTCGGTCACGTCGATATAAATTTCAGATTATTTAAATAACTGCCGACAACACACAATGACAAGTCCGCTTAAGACATACGTGTAGAACTACCCTTCTGTAAAATCCTCAAATTGGATTGGAAAATTAAGTTCAAAGCAATATAATAATAAAATGCTTCATTATATTGTTTCAAATATACAATATTCAAGCTCTAACTAAACAAGGAAAAACCTTAACTGGATTAGCTCTGTAGAGCAAAATTTGCTATTTGCAGCACCAAGTTCGGCAAATTTGAAAGGAAAAAAAAAAACATTTTGCAAAAGCAAATTATAAACCTATTATAGAAATCTTCCCGTGGATATGCACATGATAAGATATCTGTACATCTTGAAGACATCCCACTTAAGATTAAAGCATCGAGTCTAGATACTGATAATAATGTTTTCTGGTGAACTCTAACAAGCTACCGTACATTCGATCAGCCACGCCAACAAACAAAGCCTCGGTGTCAGGGCTAAAAGATATACCAGCAATCTCACCAAATATATCTATCTCTTGACTATGTGTATAACCAGATTGTGAATCAAAAATATGGACGAAGTCTGCTGGCTCAGCCATGGCCAAAAACCGTCCATCTGATGTGAATCTTAAGCCCCTTATTGCACCTATTCTTCCCTTTAATACTGCTAAGGACTGTGAAAGATTTCTTATGTCCCACAACCTGCATGTCCTGTCCTGATTCCCAGTTGCCAATATTTGTCCGTTAGGGTGCCAAGCAGATGAGAAAGAATAGTCCAAGTGCCCTTTTAGGTTTCCAGTGATCTGAGAGATACCATAAAGTGGATGTAAAATCAGAATTTAAATAAAACACCAAGACAGTGTAATACCTAAAACATCTGCAAATTAAACTACCTTCCCCGTGTTAGCATTAGCTATCAAGCCCTCGGTACTGTCCCCAAGAACAGCTAACAACTTTCCATCTGGACTAACAGAAGCATTCTGCAAAATTCAAATTGTTATTGTAGTGTTCATATTTCTTAGAGGTGAAAATTAAAATATTAGCAGAAATATCAGTTGATGATCCTCACATTGACAGACCAATCATACTTGAAACAACCAAGAGAAGCAAAATTCTCTGAATCGAAAACTCGAATTTGGGAATCATTATTTGCTGCAATGACCCTCAATGACCCACTGCAAAGAGGCAGTCGAGTTACAAACCAAGCAAGTAAAAATAATTAAACATAAGCTTCTGTGTTTAGATGCTTACCTGGAGTTGCAGAAAATATCCACTGCATTGGTTATGGCATTATCATCTGTAGTTATTTTACTGCAGAATGCAACTCCAGAATGATTCAAATTCTGGTACAAAAATAATTAAAACCCGTTAAAAAAGGGAACTACATAAGTTGCGATTACTCAATTGAAAGAAAGTATGATATGCCCAGTGCCCATCCATACCTTGCAAATAAGCTCGCCGTGGAAACCACCTGCCACCATCAGGTTCTCCTTAACTGCCATGGTGCTAATTTGCACTCGCGAAGTAGGGTGGGCTAATCCAGAATGCTTCTGCTAATGAACATAAGGGCAGTAAAATAAGATGATATTGAGTATAAAAGAAACAAATTTCGTTTGATCAGCTAAGTAGCTACATACAAGGGTTGGAATAATGGGTTTTGCCACATTAAGCACTTCTTTACTCCTTCGTAGTAATGAGGACCAATGCATCACGGAGTAGTTTTGCATAAGGTATACATCATGCTTTGATGTTGCCCACAACAGATTCCTCAGCTACAAGACACGTCGATAACATCAATATCATCACCCAGAGAGAAATATATGATAATAAAACAACAAATTAATATCACTCCTGAGAAAATAAGGCACCACATTCTAGCATTGAACGTGACCCGTAATTAGAAAAGCATCTATGAGTAACAGCTACTCTAATTGTTAGATCGGTAGGGTATTTGTGTTATGTTAATGTGTTGGTGCATATGATTGTTACCGGATCAAGTTTGATGCAATATAGGTTTGTATTTGACCTTATGTTATTTGTGTAAATAGAGATATCTGTCAGCATTATCCACAACAAAACCTCTTTTCCCTTTTTCCTTATTAACTCCTAAAATGTCAACACTAGATATATTCCTTAATGAGACACCTCTACTGAATTCTGCATCTTAAGTAACTGCCATCCTACTTTTCTTACCTGTGAATGACAGGAATTTTATTTGTGGAAGATATTGGTCTTAAAAATGATAGGAGTGTAAAAAATGATGAACATCAGATATGAGTGGCCAGACTACAGATGATGTCAGCGATTTTTGTAGAAACTGACAGAAATGAGAGAATGATATGGTTATAATCAAGTATAATTGCCAGAGTAGTGACTGCACAATCAATCACACAACATCATGGAAATCAGAAATTACTAATGTATGTAAAGAGTTATGATATCTAATAGGAAGGCTAAAACTAAATATCAGAGATTTTATCCAATTTATAGAAACTGTAAAATTGATAATATTTATGAAATACCAGAATTTATAAAAATGTGAAATTAGTTTTTTTTTTTTGTTACTGAAATACTACCAGATAGTTAAAACATAAAACAAAAAACATAGTTCGATGACTATAAATGCAAAATGAAACAATATCTACAGCAGTAAAGAGGTGCTCAAAGTAGGGAGAAAATTGTAAACAGTAAGAGAGATAACTACTCAAATATTGTGTAGACATGAAGATTCTATAAATATACTGCCAAACATCATGACGTCGCGAGGCTTCTTTTGACAAAACAAAATCAATCAATAACTACTAATATCAGATATTTGTAGAGCCCTCTCAAATGTGGTCAGATATTTTCCTATCATACCATAAAATTATGTCCTCCCAAGCTGCTCACTTTCCACCTGCTTTAAAGAGAGAGATAGAAGAGGCCTAAATGCATAAACAGGTTAAGCAATAAACTACAGTATATTGCAGAATTAAATAATGCTGCAATATTATATGAACATATATCAATTAAAATGAGAACAAATACACAAGGGAATAATCATGTATATGAAGTAGGCAGATGTAATAATGGGAAACAACCATAAAACTAAAAATTCTTGCGGAAAACAGTAATATTGCAACGGCTTAAGAATTACTACTATTAACTGTTGTTGTTGCCGTTAGAGTGGCTATTCTGAAACTATGCAAGTACAGAATTACAGCTAATTACATTGTCATAAGTCATATACACCAAATTTAATGTTTCCACATGAAAGGGTTATTGAAGACAATATGTCAACCATGTATACTTTCCTCTTCAACCATCATGTAAGGAACTTCACAGGACTAAACTATTTAACTTAGCGAAAATTAGTGTACTGTGCCCAACTATTTAGTGTAATACTCTGCAAAATCCAGTTAGGAACGGTACTGGTATATTACAACTTCATGTGTACTGAATCTTAATTGACAGGAAAGGGATGGTATAAACTGCATAAAGTTCTCATCTGATCTCAAGTGTTGTATGTGGGTGTGGATAAGTGGCTGTGTGTGCATAGTCATTATGTTAAATGTAAGAAAAATACTTTTTGCTTCCCGGGAAATCACTAAATTTTTAAGCATGCAAGTCATACCAGAGCTTGATGCATCCATATCATCAATTGGCATGAAAACGTCTTGTCTGTAGATATTAGAAAAGAATATCTGGCATGTTTAGATTGACTTATTTGATCTTATTTAAGTATAAAAGCATTTGTGAGAGACTCTTTGAATTGTGAGACTTTTTTAGAGAACTTATGCAAACAGTTTATTCAATATCCACAAGATGTTTTCTGCCTATGAACTTCTGCTTATTTTCATAAGCTTTCAGGATAGCCTATAAAAATAGCTTATAAGTTATATGAAAGTATTTTGAATTTATTTTATACTATTTAGTTATAGAAATAATACAAATAGCTTATTGTATAAGTGTTTAGTTAAGTCGTTTATTAAACACGGGTTAAGTAATCCTGCAAAACTAGAATACGAAAATTATGCAAAGAAAATTTTGTTATAGTCATAATAACTCATAATAAGTCAAGTATGACTCCAATAAACAGTTAGAACTAAAGCACTATCTGGAAGCAAATAAAATAATCCATTAATCAGATAAAGTAATTCAAAAAAAAAATTCAAAATCAACCATGATATTACAGAAGTAATATAAAAATGGCAAATAGAAGCAGAAAAATGAACTAAAACTTCTGTTAAAATCTAAAATCTAGCAGTGAATTAAGTATAAAACACATAAATAACAATCCAAACATAGAAAATCTAGCAAAAAAAAGAACAAAATCTCTACCTGAAAGTGCACAATTGTTGATTTGACAAGCCTGGTATTAAACTGAAAATCATAGAACGATTTCCCTTTCTGCACTTCCAAACATTCCTAACAACCAAAAAAGATTAAAAAATAATAAAGTTTAGAAAATTGAAAAACGCAACGAAATTAATAACTGTAACTTTTCAACCGAAAGTAACCTTATCAAGCTCCTCGTGAGAGCGCGTGAGGCTCTCGTAATTCTTATACTGTTTCAAACGAGTCTCACGGTATTCATCTCTAGTATAATTAAGCATCTCCCATGGAATTCCCTGAATATCTTTCCCGTTTCTTGCTTCCATAGCAGAAGTATCCGTCTTCGCATTACTCTGTTGTTTCAAATGAAAATTGAACTTCAATTGAACGAACGATAAAATAAACGAAAATTAAACAGCGAAGAGAAAAGGTACCGTATCGAAATCGTCTTCGGAGTCGGAATCGGAAGTACGGTTAGGAACATTGTTGGAGAAGGTATCTTCGTCTTGGAAATCGGAGAATTCGAAGTAGTCGTCGTTAACGTATTCAAGATCGTCGTTGCTGAACTGTTCCATTATGAGTGTTGTTGATTAACAAAGAAGAATGAAAACGAAGGAAGAAGAGAAGAATAATGTTGAGAAAGAGCAAAGAAATGAGTAACCGATAGTGTTGTACTTATAGAGAAGAGAGTGAGAAAGAAGGTAGAGGCGTAGAAGGAGGTGGAAAGAGGTGGGGTCCACTTTGGTATTTAATCAGGTTGTGGGCTCCATCTAACCGGCCGTTAATTTACGGCTTTTTTGTTCTGCCGTCAACATAAGGAGTACCGGTAATTCTAATCTAATCAAACCATTTACCTCTTCCGTATGTTTCGAAAGAAAATTGAAAACTTGGTATGTTCTTCAATATTTATTTCTATTTTAAAGTTCATAAAACACATTTCATACAATTACATGAATTTCTGCATATTTTAAAACAACATTAACAATTATCATCTTGATTAAAAATAATAAATCAATTTTTATTGTTTATAGAGACACTAATAGTTTAAAGAACTATCACACTCCACCATAAAAAATATAGTCATTTGAAGTATTCACTTTAAAAAATTTCATATTATCTGTCTTCATTGATAATCATAATTCAAAAGAACTATGATATTTCACCATAAATAATATATTCACTTGAAATTACATCACTCTAAGAATTTTCATATTGTTTTCACCGAAAATCAAAGTTCAAAAAAATTATCATACCCCATCCTAATAAATATATTTTAATTTGAAGTTAAAGCACTCTAAGAATTTCACATTATCATTACCAACCATCATATTTTAAAAGAACTATTATATGCTACCATAAAAAGTATAGTCTCTTGAATTATATGATAATATTTTAGCAAGTGTACTAAATTGATCAGAAGTAGTAAAATAATTTATCTCTAGAGAATTTGTTTTATTCTAACAAGAGTAATCAAAGTGTGTTTTGAAAGGTAAGATTGGGGTGCACAATGGGCTTTGGTTGATAGAAAAATAAACAAAAATGAGAAAATATCATATTAACAAACGACCAAGTTTTATTCGAATCCCCTCAGTATCTATGTTGATTATTCTGTTTATTTACTATTGATTAATCTTACAAGTCTACGATGAACTAACACGATAGTTATATCCAATTTCTTGGTGTATAACTCACTAACTTAAACGATATCACAGTGCCATTTTGGTTGTGCCACGATGTGGTGACAACTTTAGATTCTGCTAGGATGTCTTTTCGTCGTGGCACGATGAGTTATTTTTATGGTTGGTCGTGACACGATGTTGCACACGATTTTTCTAGGGGCTTTGGCACATTTTTGCTCCTATTTTCTTCATATTTCTTCATTTATTTTGTTTCTTTATTTCCTTCTACTTTTCTCACAAACTAATACAATTTAAACTCAATTAACATCAAAATGTTAACTAATTCTCCATAAAATTATGTGATGACAGAGAGTCATCATTATACCACTCCAAAAAAATTCACATCATCTTCATCAACAATCATAGTTCAAAAGGAGTATCATACTTCATCCCGATGAATATACTTCACTTGAAGTTAAATCCCTCAAATAATTTCACTTTGTCATCAATGAAATTAAAGTTCAAAAGAACTATCACTCTACATTAGAATAAGAGTATATTTCAGTTGAAGCTAAACTATTTCAAGAATTTCTACATGTCGAAAATCATACTAAAAATTTATTTCTCAACTTCCATGATGGTGGGAAGCTTTTCAACGATCGATATAATCACGCATCACACCTTACATCAATGTCAATAAATGTCATGTACTAATTAACACCTTGTGTAAGTCTTATTATTAATTTTCTCTGGGACAAAGTCCACAATAGAACTTGTGACTGGAGCTTAACAATACATTCACAAAACTATATTTCTTTTCTGATGTGGAAGATCAAACAAAGTTACAGGCTTAAAGCATACTAAGAACTCATACACTTAAATTGAACCAAAAGTTTTTATATCAATTGTTAGGGAGTCTGATGAAGTTGGAAGCAACAACAAGTGTAATGCTTCAAGACCAAAAGAATGGAAGACGTCACACTTTCACCCAAAATCTTAAGGCTTTTGATACCATTTTGTGAGTGCAATATACTCTTAAATATGTTTTGAATGATGTCAATGAAGGAAAATTGCGATCTAAACGCAGCGGAAAACAAAAATTTCCTTTAGTGATCCTTACGAATGAGCATGGTCAGTGATAGAATCGTTACCTCTTTGTGGCGATTCAGATCTTTGATGCAGCGATCACAAGCGTTGATGAAGTGCAACGCCTCTACTCAGTCCACACGAACAGCTTCCGGTCACAGTGCTAGCTGCTTACGAACGGAATTATTTGAGTGAGAAAAGAGAATCAAAACCGAAATTGCATCAAGTGAAAGCTTCATCACAAGGGTTCCTTTTATAGACTCTCTTGTGGGCTGCGGGCTAAAACCCAATTCACATGATCCATAATAATATTATATATTATTATAATAACTATTATTATAATAAATATATTTATTTTATTATTATTTTATAACCATTATAAAATAACAATAATTATTATTATATTATCCGAATTTCTATTTTTCACTTAAGTGCACCGTACCTTACGGTGTTCCTTTGATTTCTCTATCTCATCAAACTGTCCTTATGTGTGTGACCCTGTAGGATTTCGTAACGTTGGTAATTATATTAAATTATATATTTAACATAATAAACAGTAAGCGGTATCTAGCAACACATCACTGCTACCCAAGTCACGAAAATGTCATGTGATCTGACAAAACCTTTTTCGTGATAATATATGTTTGTACAATTACCCTTTTGCCCCTATGTCTATATTGAACACAAGGCATACACTGTGTCATCCTTGTCCAGTTCAATATTGGGCCCTTAGACATTTCTCCTGTTATGCAGGATTGGCAAATTCCATCTAGGACACTCATGTCCCTCAGCATGCTTCGTGGAGTGCCCATCAACTGTCTTTATGATCATCCAGTTACGGATAATGTTTGATCAGCAATAAAGCACCCGACTCTACATCTAGGGTCCATAGTGGTTTCAGGTCGAAGGGTGGTAATACACCATTATCACCATGAGAATAACTTATGACACTTTGCATAACATACTATGTAGTATTCTCATAGCGGGTCAATCCGGTATAAATATTACTCCTAATATTTATACCTATGTCAAGACTTGATAACTCTTTATCCATGATCCATGAGATGTGATCATCAGTCTATCTTCATAATAGTCTCAATGCTTTTAATGTTATCCCACTTTGCAATAAAGCTTGACTACGAATATTTTAAGAATAATGTCTTTATGTTTAATGGGATCTCATGATTAAGTCACACTTAACATTTCATTAAACAAACTAACTATTCTAGGGACTTTATTATTCTGAAAGACAAACATAATAAAGAAATGCCTTTTATTATTAAACGAATAATCCGATACAAGTACCAAAAAGTATTGGCCTCTAGGGCTTACACCAACAATCTCCCACTAACACTAGAGCCAATTAGGCATACCCTTAATACCCATAGATCTAGTATGACCATCATGCTTCTGTTGTGCAAGAGGCTTTGTTAATGGGTCAGCGATATTGTCAAGTGTAGGTACTCTGCATATCTTCACATCTCCCCGATCGATTATCTCTCGAATGAGGTGATAACGCCTAAGTATGTGTTTGGATCGTTGGTGAGATCTAGGCTCCTTAGCTTGTGCGATAGCACCATTGTTATCACAATATAAACCAATGGGATCCACAATGCTAGGGACTATGCCAAGTTCACTAATGAACTTCTTGATCCAAACAGCTTCCTTTGCTGCATTTGAGGCAGCAATATACTCGGCCTCAGTTGTAGAATCAGCAACTGTTTCTTGCTTTGAACTTTTCCAGCTCACAGCGCCACCATTGAGACAGAACACATAACCAGATTGTGATCTAAAATCATCCTTATTTGTCTGGAAGCTAGCATCAGTGTAACCAATTACATCAAGCTCTTCCTGACCTCCATATATCAAGAATGAATCCTTAGTCCTTCTCAAGTACTTAAGAATATTCTTGATAGCTACCCAGTGAGCATCACCGGGATCAGATTGGTACCTACTCGTTGCACTTAATGCATACGAGACATCTGGTCGAGTACATAACATGGCATACATGATAGATCCTATTGCAGATGCATATGGAATCTTATTCATGCGATCCCTTTCTTCCTTAGTTGAAGGGGATTGTGTTTTTGATAAACACAGACCATGTTGCATAGGTATGAATCCTTTCTTGGAATCATGCATATTAAAGCGTCTCAACACTTTATCTATGTATGTACTCTGACTTAGGCCAAGCAGTTTTTGTGATCTATCTCTATAGATCCTAATTCCTAATATATAGGCTGCTTCACCTAGGTCTTTCATAGAAAAACAATTCCCTAACCAAGTCTTCACTTGTTGCAAGGTAGGGACATCGTTTCCAATGAGTAATATGTCATCTACATATAATACCAGAAACACGATCATGCTCCCACTAACCTTCTTGTAGACACAAGGTTCATCTTCATTTTTGATGAATCCATATTGTTTTACGGTTTCATCAAAACGAAGATTCCAGCTTCTGGAAGCTTGCTTCAATCCATAGATTGATCGCTGTAACTTGCATATCTTTTGGGCATCTTGTGGTATGTCAAATCCTTCAGGTTGTGTCATGTACACATCCTCAAGAAGATTCCCATTAAGGAAAGCAGTTTTGACATCCATCTGCCATATTTCATAATCATGATATGCAGCGATGGCAAGTAAAATCCGAACAGATTTAAGCATTGCAACTGGTGAAAAGGTTTCATCATAGTCAACCCCATGAATTTGTTTATAGCCTTTTGCAACCAGTCTTGCTTTATAGGTATGTACCTTACCATCCATGTCAGTCTTCTTCTTGAAGACCCACTTGCATCCTATAGGGTTAACTCCTATAGGAGGTTCTACCAAGGTCCAAACCTGGTTTGTGTACATGGAATCCATTTCAGATT